AAACTGGGGAGGAGGGTAGAGAGAATGGTGCAGTAATGAAGGAATGAAAACCCAAAATCCCTGTAAATGTTCATTAAAACTAATAAAATTTAATAACATTTTTTTAAAAAGCTGAACATAGTAATTCCAAAAAAAAATTTAAAAAAATAAAACTTATTTACTTAATCCTCAAAAGAATAGTATATGATAAATAACAGTACCCCCACTTTCTAGATGAGAAAACTGGGGTACTGACAGGCTAAGTCGTTTGGGGTTTCACAGGTACGATGTGGCAAAAGCAGAATTTTAACAAAGCAGTTTGAAGCCAGAATGTATGTCCTTAACTACGTTGTCTGAAGCATAATCTTTACTTTTTGGCAAAGTGCAAAGGGGAGGAGTGTGGCCACCATTTCACTGTGTGAAGAATGACTGGCATGGTAGAGGCAGTGTATTTGATCCTCTATTCAAGGAGGAAACTTTAAGGCCTGATGGTCTTCTCTGGGTGATGGAATTCTTTGTTCTGTGATGTAATGATGACCTCAAGGTAAACTGTCTTGAACCAAAGAAAATGGAATGGCTACTGGAGGGCTTGCTTGAGATTGAAGGAGACATGAGGCTTTTGTGGGATCACCTGGCCCAAGTGCTGGCCTGCACACACTGTGGCAGCAGCTGTCTCCTGAGTCCTGGGAACCTGGGAATCCTATTGTTGTTTGTAATATGGCAGATCCGGAGGTGGCGGCAGCTGGGAAAGTGGCCACAGCTTCAGTCCTGGTTCTATGGAGACATGACCCAAAGCAAGGTGGGTGACATCTGAGGTCTGACTGGATGAATGAGCTCATACCACAAAAGAGGTCAGGTGAGGCATACATGTGAGTACAGGTAAGTTGATACTCTAGAGTTTAACCATTAAAAACAAATTTGAAACAAGGTGAGCAAAACCCTTGGCATGAGGGTATACAAGAGGCTGCCAACTCCCAAATGTGGACTAGAAAACTGTTAATAATAGATGAGCAGCTGGACAAGTGACTGCTGACCATGTGTGGGGTCAAGTGGGTGATTACTGACTGGATGTGGGGCAGAGACTGAGAATTTCATGTGCTTTGTGTCTGAAAAAGCTCCATGCCAGGTTAAGTCTCTTTCTCTACTCATAGGGCCTACCATTTCTGTACCATGTGGCTTTCCTTGATTGCCTGTGGAAGCAAAAGTTGGAACAGGAAGAGGAGGAGGAAGAGGAGGAGAAGGAGGAGGATGCATCTCTGGACACACTGAAGCCATACTTTCCTCTCAGAGAAATTCCTGTTGGAAAGCAAACCATCAGAGTCACATCTCTTCCATGTGATGCCCCAGTCCCAGCCCTCTGTGGTCCTATGGGCTTCTCCGAAGCATCAGGGACACCAGAACAAACACTCAAACAGCCCCTAAGCCCTTCCAGATCCTTTCCTATCTTCCAGATCGTGACCAACCTACCTGTGAGACACACAGCAGCAGGAAGCTTCCTGCAGCAGAGAAAAAGTCAACTTTTCTGGGGTCTTCCCTCTCTGCACAGTGAATCCTTAGAGGTCACCTTCCAGAGCTCAGGTGGTCCCTCTATGTGCTTCAACAAGTTGACCTTCCTGCTTAAACCCAATCTGCTGTTTCCCCAGGACTGCCCTGCAACCCAGTTTCCTACCTATTATTCCCAAAGTCTGGAAGAACTGGCTCCTGATCTTCAGCCACTTTCCCCTCCTGTTCTGTCCCTAGCTCCCCCTATTAAGCCTTTTCCTTCAGATCACAAAAGAGTCCTACCTAGCACTGAGGCACAAACACAGATGCTCACACAAGGTGTCCCTTGGGTCCCTAAGGATCAAGCACTGCGCCCTCTGCTTGAACTCCGAAGTACCAGCCCCTCTAAGCTCCTCCCTTTATCTGTGACCTGGTTGGTAGTGCCATGGGACCCCAGCTTTCAACAACGCATTCCAGATTTACATCCTGCCTCTCTGATATATCCGTTTAGCCTTCTGGGAGTCCTGACGAGGTCTGAGGTCCCATGGACAACTACAGGACAAAATGAGGACCTCAAAGCTTCTAAGCCAGCAACGTCATCCCTTGGCTCATCCTCAGCCTCCTTGCCACAAGCCCAGGAAGTCAACCCAGACTTAGCTGGATCTGAGGTCCTCTGTGAAACCACACAAGAAAGAGAACTCTCTAAGCTTCCAACCTCAACCCCTTGCCTGGCTCCCAAGATAGAGTCTCAGAGAACAAGTATCTGGGGAGTCCCACCTGGATGTGAAAATGAATGGAAAACCGTGAAACAAAAAGAGAGCTTTCAAGTTTCTGAGCCCCTAATGTCAGCCTCTGGCCAATTCTCAGATTCTCTCTCTAAACTCCAGAAAGTCTTCTCTGAAGGTGGTCTTTCTTCACCTGAAGGTTTCTGGGGAGCCACAGGGCAAAGAGAGAATCATCAGGCTTCTGCGTTTCCAATACCACTCCTCTGCCGTCCTCAACCTCCCTGTCCAAATAGTACCCCGAGAGATCTATCTAGGTATACAGCCCAGTCAGGACACAGAGCAAACTCAGGAAGCCCTAGGGCCTTTGAGAACACAGAGTTGGATGTTAACCAAAGCCCAGGTCCTCTGCTGGGGATGTGTGGAACCAGCCTTGCATGTGTCCCTACAAGATCTGAGGTTCCAGGGAAGGACAGGCAGAGAAGAGAAAATCTGTGGGTCTCTGCAAACCCTGTTTCACCTTCCAGAATCTCCTCAAACTCTGTGCTGGAACCTACAGGAGTAGACCCCCAAGGAGTTCTGTCTGAATCCAAAGCTTTGCAGGAGAGAGAGAACCTCTGGGCCTCTGAGACTCCAGCCCCCACATGCAGTCCACCTCTAGACCCCATTCAAGAGTCCTATGGAATTTATGCTGCGGAAGGCCTCCTAGGATCTGCAACTACCCTGAAGGGCACTGAGCCTTCTGGTAAATTCTGGGCTGCCAAGTCTACACGTCTAGTCCTCAGCCGACCTCTAGCTCCTACCCAGGACTCCTTCAGAGTACGCCCCATGAGAGTGCCCCTTGATTCTGAGGCTGTATGTGGGGACATACAAAATCCAAAAAACTCTAGGGCCCCTGAAGCTCCAGCTTGCTGCTTACCTGAAGAGCCACAAGGAGAGAGCAGCCAGAGAATCTCATCAGATTCTGGGCTTATGAGGGAAGTCATGAAGCAGGGAGGGAACTACTGTGCTCCTGTGCCTATAGTGAAGACATGCAGTTTACCCTCAAACTCTGCTTCAAAGTCCCTCATGATTGAGCCTATTGAAGATCCTAGGGACGAGGAAGTAGTGGAGCCAAGTGAAAAGTCCTGGGTCCCTGAGCTTCCCGCTTCAGCCCGCTGCTCTCTCTCGGCCTCTCCGCTGGAACGACAAGTTGACTCTGAAATTGTGTGGAGAAACATGCAGCAAAGAGACACCCACCACGGCTCAAACCCTCCAGCAGTGGAAACCTTACCACTGGAGTGCCGGCCTCCCACTCTAGCTGAAATTCCAAAGATGAAGCACAAACAGCCTGACCTACTTAAAGAAGAAATCTTACCAGAGGTAGAGACTCCATCCTCCCAGGAAGAGGCTGTGCCAAACATAACCACGCCCCATGGACTCCAGGCCTGGCACTGGAGCGGAGACTTGGAAGGAAAGCTGAAGAATTTGCAGCAGAAATCTGCTTTCAGATTTCCTAGGCCAAGTCAATCACTGGGCAGCTCTCCGACCACTAGCTCTACAACTTCAGGCTTCTGGGAATTCTCTTCTTGCCTTCCACAGGAGACGCGTCCTCCCAGTGCACGTACCTGTTCTTCAAAGTGCTGTGTCCAACAAGTGCAGTGCACAAGACCTCAGCCTACCCAGGTCTCCCACTGTTGTCAACCCCATCCTTCTTCCCAGATGCAGTCACAAGGGCCTGACAGGGTAAACCATTGGTCTCTGAGAGAGGACTGTGTGAAGATCTTGGCTTTGGTCCCCTCTCAAGAGTCACCAAAGTTTGGTGACAATTGTCCAGGCCTAGGAAAGAACTCCAACCCTAAAATTCTGCCTTTAGACAAGAGGCAGAACGAAGCTTCCATGCTGTGTTCAGACAAAAAGAGGGAGCATCTCAAGAAACCCCAATCAGATTATGAAGAGGATACAGGACTGAGGCCACTCAGGTTCACAGCCAAGGTGCCATATGCCCAGGCTCAAAGACAAGCCCAGGTCCCTATAAACAGATTTTTCGAAGGATCTTGCCAGAGGGACCAGCACTCTCTACACTCTGCTCTCCGTCAGCAGCTTCCAAACACTAAGGGTCCTCAGAATAAGTGTGGGACAAAGATGGGAGCTGGTGACATGCCAAACCCTCTGCTCTTGAAGAAGTGTGTCTCCTCTCCAACACTGCGGGCTCCAACTGTCAATGGTTTCCAAAGAATGTTAGCAAAGTTACTAGGTACCCCTGGACCCCAATCCAACAAATCCAATGGGGAGCACACTGGTAGTGCTGACCCTCAGTGCCCCAAGACCTGAGGCCACATCAGGCCAGGTGGATATAGTGGAAAGAATACAGGCCCCCAAAATTCTAATAAATTTGCTAAACTGGATAATCTGCACTTTTGTCTTTTTGGGGTCTAAGATAACAAAAATGACAATCCTTTATTATCTCAGCTACCAAGAATAGTAGGGAGCTCTGGCATCAACTAATAGTTGTCTGACCATCTCAAAGGCACCAGCAAACCCACCAGCTGGCATACAGAAGATGAGCTATTTCCTCCGGAAACCACTGGGGTCAGCCGAGTCAGTTTTGATTCAATGCCAGTTAGAGCAAGTGCAGAAAAAGAATAGATCGCTAAGAAAAGGACCAGGGAGCACACTCCAATGTAGCCTGTAGTGTAGTGGCACTACTGTCCAAATGACTCTCCTAGGCCATAACCCGGCACTGTCATAGTTGAACGGGACAATGCAAACAGTGTGTGTAGGTCTAGCCACGAGGGGACTGGCTAGTTTTGCCATTCTGTTGTTAAGTCACCTGTGACTCACAACGACCCTATGTACAACATCTCTAAACTCTGTTCTGTCCTGTGACACCCTGTCTCTGACACACCTACCCCAATTACCCCAGTCACTGAATCAATCCACCTCATACAGGGTTTCCTTCTCCTGTGCTGTCCTTCAACCCTCCCAAGCATGATGTCCCTCTCCAAGGACAGGTCCCTCCTTAAAACATGTCCAAAATGTCAGATGATGCTTCAGAACCCTTACCTCCAAGAAGCATCCTGGTTTAACCCTCTAGGATGAACCTGTTCATTCACTTAACAGTCCATGGTATATTCAATACTCTTCTCCAACACCACAGCTCAAAGTTATCAATTCTCCTTCTGTCATCCCTAGTCATTGTCCAGCTCTCTGATACATCGCAAGTGATTGCAAAGACCATGGCCTGTTATCAGGCGTACCTTAGTCTCCAGAGTGCCATCATTGTTCTCCAGTACTTTGGAGAGGTCCCTAACAGCAGACTTTCCCATCGCAATACATCTTTTAATTTCCTGACTGCTGTTGCCAAGAGTGTTGATTGTGGAGCCAAGCAGACTAAAGCTGTGAACAATCTCAATCTCTTCATCATCCATCCTGATGTTGCCAATCGGTCCAGTGGTGAGAATCTTTGTCTTCTTGACGTTGAGCCTCAATCCATATTGAAGGCTACAGTCCTTGACCTTCTGCAGCAAGCAGGTCCTCCTCAGTTTCAGCAAGCAGGGTTGTGTCATCTGCATAACGTGGATTGTTGAGGAATCGTCCTCAATCCTGGTGCCACATTTCTCCTCATAAAGCCCAGCCTCCCAGATAATCTCTTCTGCATATAGATTGAAAAGGTATGGCAATAGGACATAACCTTGGCATACATTCTCCCCAATTTTGATCTATGCAGTGCTTCCTTGCTCTGTTCTGACGACTGCCTCTTGGTCCAAGTATAGGTTTCACACTAGCATGATCAAGTGTTCTGGGATTCCCACTCTTCTCAGAGTTAGCAACAGTTTGTTGTGATCCACAAAGTCGAACACCTTTGCATAGTCAATGAAATATAAGCCATTCCTCTGGTATTCCCTGCTTTCAGTCAAGATCCATCTAACACTAACTACAGTATCCCAAGTACCATGACCCCTTCTAAACCCAGCCTGCACTTCTGGCAGTTCTCTTTGTTGATGTGCTGTTTCAGTAGTTTCTGGATAATCTTCAGCAGAATCTTGCTCACATGTGATACTAATGACACTGTTCTATTAACTTCCACTTAGTGTTCTATCACCTTTCCTTGGAATGGGAACAAATAAAGATCTCTTCCAGTCAACTGCTGTCCTCTAGATTTCTTGACACAACTAGGTGAACACATTTAGAGAAGCATCTATTAGTTGAAATACGTCAATTGGTATACCATCAATTCCTGGGGTCTTATTTTTTGCCAATTCTTTCAAAGCAGCTTGAACTTCATCACCACAGGCTCTTGCTCATGAAATTCTTCTGTGTCTACCAATTCCTTTCAGTATAATGATTCTGTATACTCTTTCCATCTTCTTTTAAAACATCCTTGATCATTTCATATTCTTCCCAAAGCATCCTTAAGTATTGCAAATCAAGGCTTGAATTTGTTCTTCAGTTCCATGAGCGAGTTCAGCCCTTTTGATTTTCTGACTCCAGGTCCTTGCACATTTCATTGTAATATTTTACCTTGTCTTCCTGGACTGCCTTTTGAAATCTTCTGTTCAGATCTTTAGTATCTTGATTTCTTCCCTCTGCTTTGGCTTCTTGGCACTCCTGTGCAATATTCAGAGTCTCTTCTGACATCCATTTTGGTTTTGTCTTTCTCCTCTTTGTAATGACCTTTTACACTCCTCCTGGATGATATTGATAACCTCCCACAACTCATCTGGTCTTCACTCATCAGTGTTCAAGGCCTCAAACCTATTCCTGAGCTGGTTTTGAAATTCAAATGGGACAGACTCAAGGCCATATTTTGGTTCTGGTGGATTTAATTTTCATTAGCTTTAGCTTGAACTTGCATTAGTTGGTGGTCTGTTCCACAATCAGCAGCTGGCCTAGTTTTCAAAGCTGGTTATTGAGCTTCTCCAACGATTCTTTCAATAGATGTAATCAGTCTGATTACTGTGTATACCATCAAGTGAAATCCATGTGCATAACCTGCATTTGTGTTTCTTAGAAAATGTATTTGAAATTAATAAACTGTTGATTGTACACAATTCAATCATTCTACCTCCAGCTTCATTTCTCTCACCAAGTACATGCTTTCTGACTAATGATCCTTCTTCTCTGTTCCCAACATTTGCATTCCAGCCACCCATTACTATTAATGCATCTTGACTGTATGTTTGGTCGATCTCTGACTGCAAAACTTGGTAAAAATCTTCTATTTTTCTTTGGCTCTAGTTGTTGGTATATATATCTGAATGATAGTGGTACTCACTGGACTTCCTTGTATGTGTATGGATATTATCCTGTAGCTTATAATAATTGTTTCAAGACACATCTAGAAATTACTTTTTTAACTATGAAAGCCATCCCATTTTTCCTTACCTTATCACCAGCATAATAGATCATTATTATCTGATTCAAAAATGCCCCATGCCAGTCCATCTCATCTCGCCAATACCTACTATGTCCATATTTATGCATTCCATTTCTTCCTTATCATCTACTTTTCCTACATTCATAGTTCTCACATTCCATTTTCCAATCGCTACTGTATGCTTCCACCAAGCCTGATGCCACAATTCTCCTCATAGAGCCCAGCCTCTCGGATAATCTGCTCTGCATACATGTTGAAAAGGTATGGAGACAGGATGCATCCCTGGCGTACACCCTTCCCAATTTTGAACCATGCAGTCTTACCCTGCTCTGTTCTGACTACTGCCTCTTGATCGAAGTACAGGTTTTGCATTAGCACAATTAAATGTTCTGGGATTCCCATTTTTCTCAGAGTCAGCCACAGTTTGTTATGATCCACACAGTCAAATGCCTTTGCATAATCAAGGAAACACAGATAGACATTATTCTGGTATTCTCTGCTTTCAGCCAAGATCCATCTAACATCAGCAACAATATCCTTAGTACCACGACCCCTTCTAAACCCAGCCTGGACTTCCGGCAGTTCTCTGCTGATGTGCTGTTCTAATCGTTTTTGGATGATCTTCAGTAGAATCTTGCTTGCATGTGAAATCAATGACACTGTTCGGTAGTTTCCACACTCAGTTGGGTCACCTTTCTTTGGAATGGGAACAAATATAGATCTCTTCCAGTCAGTTGGCCAAGTGGTTGTTCTCCAGATTTCTTGGCACAACTTGGTGAGCACATCCAGGGCAACATCTGTTATCTGAAATACTTCAATTGGTATACCATCTATTCCTGGGGCCTTATTTTTGCTACTTCCTGCATTATGCAGATGACACAACCCTGCTTGCTGAAACTGAGGAGGACCTCATGCACTTGCTGCGAAGGGTCAAGGACTGCAGCCTTCAGTATGGACTGAGGCTCAATGTCAAGAAGACAAAGATTCTCGCCACTGGACCAATTGGCAGTGTCAGGATGGATGACGAAGAGATTGAGAGTGTTCACAGCTTCAGTTTGCTCGGCTCCACAGTCAACACTCTTGGCACCAGCAGTCAGGAAATCAAAAAGCGTATCACGATGGGAAAGTATGCTGTTAGGGACCTCTCTAAGGTACTCAGGAGCAACAGTGTCTCTCTGGAGACTAAGGTGCGCCTGATACAGGCCATGGTCTTTGCAATCGCTTGTTATGCATCAGAGAGTTGGACAATGACTAGGGAGGACAGGAGAGTGGATGCTTTTGAGCTGTGGTGCTGGAGAAGGGTACTGAATGTACCATGGACTGCCAGGAAAACAGATTCATCTTGGAGAGGATTAAACCAAGCTACTCCTTGGAGGCAAGGATTCTGGGGCTTCGTCTGACATACTTTGGACATGTTGCCAGGAGGGACGGGTCCTTGGAGAGGGACATCATGCTTGGGAGGGTGGAGGGACAGCGCAGGAGGGGAAGACCCTCTATGAGATGGATCGATTCAGTGACTGGGGTAATTGGGATGGGTGTGTCAGAGGCAGTGCGGTTGGCGCAGGACAGAGCAGGGTTTAGGGCTGTTGTGCATAGGGTCGCTATGAAACGACTCGACGGCACATAAAAACAACTGTCTGCTTACAACTCCTCCTCTTCCTTTGTATGAGTTCCACATCAGTTGTCCTGTTAGTCTAAGTTTGTTCTATAGCTCATACAATTTTCGGAGGCCTGCTATTTCAGACGTGGATGGCCAATCTTTCTTCCTAGCCTATCTCAATCTGAATGCTCAAGTTTAGAAAAGTATCTGACACACATGCATTTTACAGAAAAGAGCAGATGAAAGTTATTTCTCCAATTGTAGAATTAACCAATAGTTTCAGTGTTGTCCCCACCCTTGACACAAGTGTCTTGACCCACCCATTTCCCTGCTCCACCACTCACCAACATTCCC